TTATCTAGAATTAATTTATTAATTAATTCACCCGATAAATCACCCATGAGTTAACTTTGAACCTCTTTTACGGAAATAACACAAGTTACCAATGTGTAGGAAATACATCGTATCGTTACAGGAAATTACGTGAGCTAGCAAAGGGACCCGATGGACATATATAAATCAAGCTCCTATAATCACAACGCTACTTGTAAACCAACAAGTCTGTCTCATGATTATAAAACTCTAGTGTTATTCCACTATAAGCCTAGAGCTGCACTCTCGATTTATATAGCATATTTACAAAGCTCTGATTAGCTCTAGTCCATGACTCAATATATTAGTATATCATCCCCATAGGATATCCATAATCGACTTGAGGTCAAGTTCCGTTTTACCTTCCCGATTACATTTATCTTATGTTCCATTATCATATCATCAGAAAAATACTATTCGTACTATTACAAACAGTAAACCATTAGATAACACAGAGTAGTCTAATGGCCGAGCGCTCGTATTTTCCAATCCACTGATAATGCATAAGAGGATATCATTGACTCTTTATAGGAGCTATGGATTCCACTATCTATGAATAACAAATCTACGCACACACGAGTCATACCCCTAATGTACCGGTAAGCGGACCTTTACATAATGTCAGGATGTCTCCCTTTAGTACATCAAAGGATACAAGTCAAGCATACGGGTTCATCATCCATCTCAGGATTAAGATGACATCATATAATTCGTCAAAAGGGAATTGTTTTATTCAAACAGAATTATTAATTAAAACAATTCAACTTTGGTCCGATCCAATATAGATTTCACCATTAGAAACTATATCAATGTCTCCACCCATGGAGTCCCACCTCCGACGACCAAGACAAGCCGTCTCTGTTAGGAAGTAGACAACATAACAATCTTAACATGAATAAAGCGCCCAACTTTATTCCCTCGATTGTGGATCATAAGATTTAGACTATCATCTTTAGATTCTTGTCTTCCGCATGTTCATTACATGCATGACCTAAAGATTTAGAATGACAGTCTCAGACTTTTAGTTTTCTTATCATACATTCAACTATTATGAACATAAAGAGGACAATACATAGATCTATGAAATAAACAAATCTTTATTAATAGTCAAAATGTCTCAAAGAATATTGTTACATTTATTCCTAAGGGCATAAACGCTAACACCTTCTTCATGGATGCCTCTCCTCCTTGGAGGGGTCAGCCTCATGGATGCAGGTTTAAGAACCTTCTTCATGGAGGCTTCTCATCCTTGGAGGGGGCGGCCTCATGGATGCCCCTTGGAGATTTTTGCAGGTTTAAGAACCTTCTTCATGGAGGCCTTTCCTCCTTGGAGGGGTCGGCCTCATGGATGCCCCTTGGAGCTCTTGGCAGGTTTAAGAACCTTCTTCATGGAGACCTCTTCTCCTTGGAGGGGTCGGCCTCATGGATACAGGTTTAAGAACCTTCTTTATGGAGGCCTCTCCTCCTTGGAGGGGGCGGCCTCATGGATGCTCCTTGGGACTCTTGGCAGGTTTAAGAACCTTCTTCATGGAGGCCTCTCCTCCTTGGAGGGGGCGGCCTCATGGATGCTCCTTGGGACTCTTGGCAGGTTTAAGAACCTTCTTCATGGAGGCCTCTCCTCCTTGGAGGGGTCGGCCTCGTGGATGCCTCTTGGGGCTCTTTGCAGGTTTAAGAACCTTCTTCATGGAGGCCTCTCCTCCTTGGAGGGGTCGGCCTCGTGGATCCCCTTAGGGCTCTTGGCAGGTTTAAGAACCTTATTCATGGAGGCCTCTCCTCTTTAGAGGGGGCAGCCTCATGGATGCCCTTTGGGGCTCTTGGCAGGTTTAAGAACTTTCTTTATGGAGGCCTCTACTCCTTGGAGGGGTCGGCCTCGTGGATGCCCCTTGGGGCGCTTACCAGGTTTAAGAACCTTTTTTATGGAGGCCTCACCTCCTTGGAGGGATCGGCCTCGTGGATACCCCTTGGGGCTCTTAGCATGTTTAAGAACTTTTTTTATGGAGGCTTCTCCTCCTTGGAGGGGTCGGCCTCATGGATGCCCCTTGGGGCTCTTGGCAGGTTTAAAAACCTTCTTTATGGAGACCTCTCCTCCTTGGAGGGGTCGGCCTCATGGATACAGGTTTAAGAACCTTCTTCATGGAGGCCGCTCCTCCTTGGAGGGGGCGGCCTCATTGATGCCCATTGGGGCTCTTGGCAGGTTTAAAAACCTTTTTTAATGGAGGCCCCTCCTCCTTGGAAGGGTCGGCCGTCTGGAGGCCTCTCCTCCTTGGAATGGTCGGCCGTCTAGGGGCCTCTCCTCCTTGGAAAGGTCGGTCGTTTGGAGGCCTCTCCTCATTGGAAGGGTCGGCTGTCTGGATGCCTCTCCTCCTTGGAAGGGTCGGCTGTCTCTGACGTGGCAGCGCATATTTTTCCACACAATAGAGCCTCAATTGAGCGTCACATGTTTCCTCATTAAACTCATTTGTCCGGCTTGTTTGAGCTTCATCTCTCTTGTCCGTGGCATTTAGTCGCCGACGGATCTTTTGCATTCTCCGCCTTGCTTCAACATCTTGACGACTCGCTTCAGTTTGTTTTACTCTCGGCATTTGGATTCCACTTGACCTAGCTCACTCATTTTTATGTTTTCACGTGTTCACATAAATTCCCAAAGCAATATTCATTGAAAGATGAGGGAAAAAAAATCACAAATAAGTATTTCAATGCAGATAATTGAAAAGAACATCTTTTGTCTCCATTAAAACTAACAAATTTTAACAGCACAAACAAGCATATCTGAGTAAATTTTTGTTTAGACATACACACATGGGTAAATATCATTCATAGACTTAATAAGAAACCAACATTTCTCCAGAAAAATAACATCAAATTTGTCCACAGCATATGAAATCAAATTTCACACCTTTTTTATATAATTAAAGTTGGGTTCCAGACAAATACCAAATAAAAATCATTAAAAAAAAAAGGATATTCAAACACGTTCTTTCCCTTCAACATCCATCCAAACTTAACTCTTCCACGTGTTTTCACTTAAGATAAAAGTACTAGGATTTCCTAATACACGAAGTTTTATTAAGTTACATGTTCATAAGCAACATACTTTTCCTTCAACTAGGCCAAACGAAAAAACAACTAACTATCATTGCCACCATAAATACGGTTTTGTTTTGGAAGTACAGTTCTAGTTTTTCAATCACCATATACGGTAAAATAACTTATCTTAACCCAATTCACATTTTGTTCATAAATCCAAAGAAATTTCAAACAAGAAATCTCAAAAATCATTCATAAAAAACATCCTCAACAATGACTACAAACAAGAAATTTCAAAAGCATTCACATTTAAACAATTTTCATTCAAAAAATAAAAATAAAAGAAAAAATCACTCACTTGAATCGAAGTGGAGTAAAAATGATCGAACTGGGATAAAAAAAGGCAGAGGCCGGCGGGAAAAGTTTGGAGGCGGCCAGCTGGAGAAGCGCGGCGGCCGGCCGGTGGGCAGCGCTTCTGTCGACGGCGGTAGAGAGAGAGTGATTGAATTTGAAGGACAGAGGAGCGTACTGAAAAAAAAAAGAACGGAGAGTTTTTTCACCTGATTAGGTATGAAGAAAAGGGCAATATGCTAGAATGACTATCCAACAGAGTGAAATTAGCAAAATGACCTTATTCATTTTTAATGAAAAACGACCACCTAATCATTCTTTATAAAAAGTGGTCAATCTGTAGTCATTTTACAAATAAAAATTTTTAAAAAGTTATTTTACTAATAAAATTTTTCTATTAAGTTATTTTTATAAAGCCCTCGTATGAAAATAGATGAAATTTAAAGGGTATATTAGTACTTTCAATTGCCACATCAGCTTTTACATAAGATTGATTTAATTAGATTAAAGGTAATTTCTTAAAATGAACTTTTGTGAGGGGTATTTACCTAAATATTCCCTGGTCCAACACGCACACTCTCTCTCTTCACGGAAGCACAACAGAAGCTTTATTTCCGGAGCTTCACCACCGAGCTTTCCACTGAGTAGAAGGCAAATTTCTGCAGCGAAACTTTTTGGAGCAAGGAGAAATGCTGTAGAGTTAAAATTTAGAGGTAGTGTTTTCTTTCTTTAAAAAAAGGGAAAAAAAAAAAAAAACCAACCAACCTAATTGATATGATTAATTTCAATATTTCGAGACTTTTACGGATAATAATGACCTAACTTTTGGCAATTTCCTTGCCGGCATTGAACAGGGTCAAGTTATGGGGGAGATTATGGTTTCTGCAATATATCGTCCAATTAGTGGTTTGCATAGACCTTATCTCCAGACTCTTCATTTTAACGAGTGTTTAAACCTTAATTCGGCTAAAAAGTTTTATCCTTTTTCAAGCGGGTCCATAAAGATGAACAATTCAATAATTGTTCCTAACATGGTTGCAAAAATTGAATATGGGTTTCTTTGTAGAGAAGGAGAAGAGGACAAAGATGAATCTGGCCAATTAGAGAAAGTGGGATTTGAACTTGAAGCTCCTGTTATTGAACAAATATTGCCCCCTTGGAGGAATTTGGAGACTTCCAAAGACTTAGATTTTGAGCCTGATGGCTTAAACCCGCCAAAGGTAGTTCCTCGAGAAAAGGCTGTGTTGAATTTGAATGTTAATAGTGTTCACTTTTTGGAGGAAGTGGATGAAGCAAAGTTGTCAAATCGGATTTTGGTGCTTAGTAGAACCAACAAGGTCAGAAGTGCATTGGAATTGCTCAGGTCCATGGAATTATCCGGCCTGCGTCCTGACTTACACGCCTGCAACTCGCTGTTATCTTGCCTCTTGCGGAATGAGCTGGTTGATGATGGTCTGAGAGTGTTTGAGTTTATGAAGACGGAGAAGATAACCACGGGGCACACGTACAGCTTAGTGCTTAAGGCGGTCACAGATGCTAAGGGCTGTGATGCTGCCCTTCGAATGTTTAGTGAAATGGAAAGGGAATGTGGAGTTAAGAATGGTTTTGATGCGGTTGTTTACAATACAATGATATCAGTTTGCGGGAGAGTGAACAATTGGCTTGAAACTCTGAGATTATGGAGATCCATGAAGGAAAATTGCCGTATCGGGACACGGATAACTTACTGTCTCTTGGTTAGCATTTTTGTTCGATGCGGTCAGAACGATCTGGCTCTTGATGCTTACGGTGAAATGGTCCAAAGCAAGTTTGAACCAGGGAAGGATACAATGCAGGCAATAATTGGTGCATGTGCAAAAGAAGGGAAATGGGATTTTGCTTTAAGCATTTTTCAGAGCATGTTGAAGAAGGGGCTCAAGCCAAACGCCATTGCTTGTAATGCAGTGATTAATTCACTTGGAAAAGCTGGGGAGATCAAACTGGCATTCAGGGTATTTGACGTCATGAAATCTTTAGGTCACTTGCCAGATACATACACATGGAATGCACTTCTCGGTGCCCTTTACCGGGCAAATCTACACGATGATGCTCTTCGGCTCTTTGAAAGGATCAAACAAGATCAGGATTCTGAGTTGAACTTACACTTGTACAACATTGCTCTAATCTCTTGCTCAAAGCTCGGGTTATGGGAGAGAGCTGTGCAGCTTCTTTGGCAAATGGAAGCTAATGGAATGTCAATTTCAGCTGCATCATATAATCTTGTTATCAATGCTTGCGAGACAGCAAGAAAGCCTGATGTTGCGGTGCAAGTGTACGAGCATATGGTTCACCTAAAATGCATTCCAGACACATTCACTCATCTCTCGCTTATAAGAGTTTGCATTTGGGGCTCCCTCTGGAATGAAGTGGAGGAAATTCTTAATGTAGGTATCTTTTTCTCCCATATGAAATGTTCCCCTATTACGTAGTTTAACACTTTGAATACTTAGGCCTTGTTCATTTCGTGACTCAAGTCATATTGCTACAGTATTTTCTCTCACATAAATTCAAATTGAACTTTTTTATTACAGTGTTTTTTTCTCACATACACAACTCAAGTCATGACTTGAGTTGTTCAAATGAGCACACCCTTAGTGTTACAAGTATCAACTTTATAAATCTGACTTGTTAATTTGAGCTTTATTTTGGGCTCTAAATGGCTAAGAATTTACTTTTTGCAGCAGGCTGCACCGGATGCATCCCTCTACAATGCAGCTATTCAAGGAATGTGCTTGAGAGGCAAGATTGATACAGCGAAGAAGCTTTATGCAAAAATGCGCAACTGCGGTCTCCAACCAGATGGGAAAACAAGAGCTATGATGCTTCAAAACTTGAGAAAAGATTCTGTTAAGCACAAGTACAGACCGCCATCTCGTCACAAGAGAAGAACCAGATTGTCTTCTTTGTCACTGTAACTAAAATTATCAAAGCAAGAATCCTCACAAAAGGGACAGGGAATTCACTTGCCCCCTACTTAGCAATGAGTAAAAGTTACCTTAGAAACACCGGTTTTTTGTGTGCATATTTTGACTTGTACAATAGCCTAACAAAAATGATTGGTTTTTTATATACCCAAGAAAGAGTCTCTATGAGTCTGATCATAGTGCTGTTGAAGAGTTTTGAGGTCTATGTAACTATTATGGAATATAATATTACAAAATAAAATGAGTCAAATACATTGAAAATTGTCTATCATGTGTTCTAGAACCAGTTTTGTTTATGATTTTGGTCCCCTCAGTGTCAGTTTTCCAAGGACATATTGATGCAAATAGGAGACATCTCTCTCTTTTTTTCTTTTTTTTTTTCTTATTAATTTTTTGAAGGGAGACATCTCTCTTATTAAGCAGCCAAAAACCCCGCACTTTCTGTTTTTTTCCCTAACCCACCCCCCACCCACATCTCTCTCTTTTTTTCTTTTTTTTTTTCTTATTAATTTTTTGAAGGGATCCATTTAACAGAATAACTTTTGTTCTAAACTCTGTTCAATCTATCTAAAAACATCACATTCTTTTCAGCTTCAGCAAATTAAAAAAAAAAAAAAACAGAGAGAGAAAGAACAACACTTTTTGAGATTTAAAGCTTATTCATTTGCATTTAAACTTAAAAAAAAAAATTAAATTTACAATCTATCTAAAAACATCACATTCTTTTCAGCTTCAACAAATTAAAAAAAAAAACAGAGAGAGAAAGAATAACACTTTTCGAGATTTAAAGCTTATTCATTTGCATCTAAACTAAAAAAAATATATTAAATTTAAATTATAATTTTGTTCAAGTTCATATTATTTGTAAAATCTGAATTTGAACTTAAATTTTAACTTGAGTTTGAAGTTAAAATCTAAATTTTAAATTTTCCTTTCAACTCAAGTTCTTAAATTCAAACATCAAATTAATTAACAATATTTTTTCTATTATTAAAAACACTAATTTTTTTGTTTTAATTTCGATTGAGATGATTTTTTTATGTCTTCACAACAACGAGACAAATAAAACATCACTTATATGCCCTATTAAAATTGTCCACTGCCATTGAATTTTTATTAAAATATTATCTAAATATAAATATAAATTTTGACTCACTCAAATACAAACTTAAATAGATTATCAATTCAAACTATAACTTAAAATGTGCACATCTAAACACAAACTCAAATTAGAATCTCAACTCAAATCAAGAACTGAACTCAAAGTCACCCTTACTTAAAATGCAAAAAAACAAACCTTGGTCATCAAGAAAAAATAAAAATAAATTAAGAAAAAGGTAAACAACTGATGAGTTAGGAAGGAGATGGAATATGACAAGCAGATTGAAGTTTAGATTCCAACGCAGACACATATCGATCGAGCATTGAAATCACAGCTTCAAATTCAGTGACTTGTTGATCAATTGTCTCTATTTTCTGCGCGTATTCATCGAAGCTTCCGCTTTTGGACTTCAGTTGCTCTACAAACACCCTCAGCCCGGACGCCACGTCTCCGTAGCCTTTGTATTCCTCCCCTACTCGCAGATTCATCTTCTCCAACAGCTCCAGCTGGTTGTTCGTGCCCTAACGAAATTGAATAAACAAATTGTTTGTTTATCACGGAGCACAAATTGAAACAAACAAAAAATCACTGGAAAAGCAGATAGGCAAAAGAAAAACCTGAAGCTCGGACTTGACCATGGCGAATACGCTGGTGAAGAGATCGTTGAGCGACTCGGCAAGCTCGTCGCGACTCGGTTGCTGATCCGTCTTCTCGGCCATATTGGTGGTCTGTTTGACGATCGGATTGGATTTGGTAAGCATACAAGCAGACTCTTTGACCTTCGTCGTTGGTGTATAGTAAGGTTTGCTATCGTTTACAAGAAAGACGGCATGCCGTCTATTGTAAACGACATCAAACCTTATGATACAGAATCTCTACAATTTAGTGGTGGTCAATTAACCTAAATCCCTAACAATCCAACTACCATCTTTGAACTAAGAAGCGATTCCTAGCTCAAAGATCAAAACTTTTTGGTCCGAACAGCGATTTGTAGTACCGAGTAAAATATATTTTCCATAAACACAGACACAAATACAAACTCTATCAAAATCAGAATCCAGTTCGAATCAGGAACCCTAAATCCTTTCTCAGATCCAAGTCCAACAACCTCGAAAATCACATCGAAACATAGCAAAATAACTTTTTTCTTTTTTTAATTTCAGAACTGAAAATCAGTCAGACGTTACGAACCTGAATCTTTGGTGGATTGAGATAGTTAGGTTTTTGAATCGGAGAACTTTCTGAAATTCGCTAGGTGAAGAGGAAGAACCTTGTCAGAGCTTTAGAGAATAAAAAGTTACGCGATAAAGGAAAGAGGAACAGGGAAGGCAAAAATAAAAAATAAAAACATCAAACGCAACTACAAGAGAGAAGGATTTTCTTTTTCCTCTTTCCCGCTGGAAAGCAGTTGCGTTTGATTTATTTTGTCATTATTCGACGTAATAGCAAAGAAAAATTCATTCAAGTATTTCATGGCAATAATCTACTGCGAAGAAGGGGATGAGCTTTATATACGGTTAATTGATTTAAAATTATAATTTAGAATTATTTTTAATTTATATTATATAAAAAAAATATTATAATAAGTTAGAGTTAATGATTTAAATTATGATATAAATTCTTATTCTAAACAGGCATCATTAACAAGAATATTTCTATAGTAGATTAGTTGCTATTATTATTATAAATAAATTATTATTTTGCTACTAGTGTGTTCTCTTTGTTTTGTTTTTTTTTGTTTTTTTTTTTTTTTGTTAAAGAAGCCATAATGTGTTTTCTTTGGTTGGGTAAGGAGGCTGTAGATTTTAGTAGAATTATTGTGAGTTGTATCGTAGGGAAAAATAGCTGTTAATTGTTATAAAAAAATAGTTGAATATTTGATAAATTATAATTTTATAAGTGTAGTTAATTTTAAAAGCAATATAACAGTGTTTAATAAATTATAAAGTTAAATTATTGTGAGTAATTAAAATAATTAAAATAAACATAAAAATACAAATTTACACTTATATACTTATTTTAATTTTATACACAAATATTTGCTTAACTCCCTCAAAAATGTTTTTTTTTTTAAATCCCTTAAAAAGAAAGTGAATTTCTTTCTTTTTTAAAAAAAAAAAAGAACTACCTTAAAAAAAACTCCATTAAAAAGAAAGGGAATATTTGTTTGTCTTAAAAATTGCTTGCTTTGGATACTGATTGCTAGTGTTGGAACTTCGGGCCGGCGGGCCGCCCGAAGCCCAAATTTTTTCAGGCTTGGGCGGGCAGGCCCATATGCCAGCCTGTTTAAGGTGTATTTTCGGGCTCGGGCTCGGGCAGCTCGAGTTTTGAGACCACGCTGGAGCCCACCGCCGTGTAGGTGCCGTCGACCGCCGTCCGCCGGAGTTTTTTTGAATTTTTCCGGCCAAGCCCGATTTGCCCAAATGCCTGACCCGCCCGAACCCGAAATTTTGAAAAAATAGTCAGAAAATGACCGTTGGGCTGCCCGACCCGAATTTTGCTCGAAAACCCGAATTTTGCCCGAATACCCGAGATGCCCGATTTGCCCGAGGTACCCGAAACCAGTCCAACGGCTAGTTTTTGCCCGAACCCGAACCCTAAACTAGCCGTTTTTGCCTGAATTTTTTGAAAAAAATCAATTTTTTAACCCAAAAATTTCTCTATAAATACCCTCCATCCCCTACACATTTTTCTCACTCAAACTCTCTCAATCCCTCTCAATTTCTCTCATTCTCTCTCAATTTCTCTCAATCTCTCTAAATCTTTCAAATCTCTATTATAATTTTTTAAAAAACTATCACATTATCCTAAAGCTCTATCTCTCTCAAATAACTATTATTTTTTTCATAATGGATCCTTTTGGTTATAGTGGTATTCCCGTTGATGCTCAACACAACGTGGAAGAATGACAATTTCCCACTAATGAATTTGTTACGCAAGAATCTACTAATCCAAGCCCTAGTGGACGTACTGGAGGTCATGGTCGCAATGGTGGCGGGCGTGGAGAAACGGCGAGTGCCAGTGTGACTGCGTCTGCAAGTGTTGCAACCTTTAAGAGGAAATCCAAGCACACCTCGACAGTTTGGGATCACTTCGACATAATTGATGAGATCGACAATGAAGGTAACACTAAATATATAGCTCAGTGTAAATATTGTTTATCCAAATTACAAGGTGACACTATTCACGGCACCACACACTTGAGAATACACTCTGAAAAGTGTCTTCAAAAGCTTAGCCAATCCGGTGGACCCAAACTCCGTCAAACACAATTATCTTTTGATCGCACAACCGGTGGTCTGACCACTTGGAAATACGATCCACAAGTAGATCGTATGGAAGTTGCCCGAATGATAGCTGTTTTAGATCAACCACTTAGTTTTGTAGAGCATCCTAATTGGCAACGATATATTAAGGTTGTACATAATCCTAATGCACAGTTTACTTCAAAAACTACTCTTAGAAAAGATTTATTAAAATTATTTAAAAAAGAAAAATAAGCATTAATAAACCTTTTACACTCGACTAGCGGGTGCGTTGCGTTAACGGTAGATATTTGGTCTGCCGTTGCCAATAAAAATTATTTAGTTGTAACCGGACATTATTTTAAAGGATTTGATTTAGATAAGAGAATATTATATTTTAAATGTGTTCTAGGATCACATAGTGTGGATTTAATATATAATATCATTTTAAATGTAATTGATGAATTTAGATTAAGAGATAAAGTAATGGCTATAACATTAGATAATGCTAGTGCCAATACAAAAGCAATTGAGTTCTTTGAAAATGATTTAAGTTTATTCGGTAACGGTACTATTTTCCACCAACATTGTGCATGTCACGTAATTAATTTAATTGTTAAATTCGGTTTAAAAGAAATGGGTAATCACATTAAAAGAATTATAGATAGTCTTGCATGGATTCAAGGTCGGAACCAAAGACAAGAATATTGGTTTAGATTTTTACAAGCATTAAATATACCTCCTAGAGCATTAGCGTTAGATATACCTATAAGATGTAACTCAACTTACATAATGTTTCAATAATGCATCCCCTATAAGGATGCTATAACAAACTATATGTGTGCAAAAGTAGGAGTATGACATATAGACGCATATGATTGGTAAATTGCCGAAGTTTTGTATCAATTTTTAGGTAGGTTTCATGAAGTGACTCTAAAACTTAGTGGAACATATTATCCAACATCACCTTTAGTTTTAAGAGAACTTTTATGAATTAGTATTTTATTTAGCGAGTATAGGGAAGACCCAATCTTAGCAGTTCCTATCCATTCTATGAAAAATAAATTTATAAAATATTGGTCTAAGTTGCCTTTGTTGTATGGTTTAGGTACTATTTTTGATCATAGATTAAAATTAGAAGGTTTAGAAAGTGGTTTAGAAAACTTATGTGATTTTGTAGGCATCAATTGTAAGGACCAATATCCAATAATAAAGGATAAAATATATTCGATCTATAGTAAATATGAGATTATGTTTAGAGTATTTCATAGAATACAGGAACCGCAACAACAAGACGAAAACCCACATTCATTCTTGAATGTTTTCGGGTTGAAGAAGAAGAAGAAGACAGCTCAAACAGAAGCTGTGAGTGAATCTTCATCAACAAATGGCAGTGGCAACGGCAGCGGCATCTTTAACGAGCTTATGGCGTACCTCAGTGAAGGCTTAGTAGTTGGCGGTACGGTAAAATCGTTTGACTTAGTTCAATGGTGGAGGGCACGGGCATTAACTTGGCCAATCCTAACTCGATTGGCAATGGATATATTTTCGATCGCAGTCTCCACTGTTTCATCAGAACAAGCCTTCAGTACGACATGAAGAATACTTGAGGAACGCCGAAATGCATTGCAAAGGGATATTGTTGAAGCATTGGTTTGCATTAAGGATTGTGATCGGACTGATCAACGTCTACAGGATACAATTTCGCCGGTAAACTAAGAATGGATTGATGAATTTAATCGATTAACATTTAATTTTAAAGACGATCCTTCAGCTTCAAATTAAATTGTAAATTTGTAATTTGTAAATATGTATTTACTTTTGCCGTTGTATTTGTAATTGTATAACTTTGTAAGTTTGTAAGATTTGTAATTCGTCACAAAATGATTGTACTCTTTTTTCCTTGCCAAGTTTTTATCCCAATTAGGTTTTTCTTGGTAAGGTTTTTAACGAGGCAATCATGAATTACGAATTTAATACATCAATAATATACATGATAAATTTATTCAATTGTGTTAATAATGTCTATTGAATGTTGATTTTGATTTTTACATAATTTTAACACAAACTAACTTAATAATTATAAAAATTAAACAATATTTAAAAAAAATTCGGGCAAATCGGGCGGGCTTGGGCGGACTAACACAAGTCCGCGGCCCGTTCAAGGGGAAATTCGGGCTCGGGCGGGCGGCCTAAATTTTTTAGGTGGGTCGGGTTTAGACTCGGACAAAAACTTTGTTTTTCGGGTGGTTGCAAACGATCCGTCTAAAATTTCAGCACTACTTATTGCTTTGATAAAAAATGAAAAGCAAATAAAAACAAATGTCTTTCTTCTTCTTTCTTTTTCTTTTTCGTTTTTCCTTAGCAAGTCTTCTTCTTCCATCACTTGCATTCCCAAAAATAGTCTTCTTCTTCCATGGGTTCACTTGCAGACCTAAAAAAAACCCAGATCCTAATCACACTGCCGCCCACCCCACCAGTTACCCCACCGCTGAACC